TATATTAGAATTACCATTTTACTTCATGCTTTCCGTTGGATATATGTTCTCGGCCGAAGTTCTCCACGATCCCTCCCCCGTCCCCCGCCGCACTGGATGATTTTGTCACCTTTGTCTTTCTCTCCTATTCTCATTTCGGGGATTAGATACATTGCACCGGATGTCTTTTTTTTTGTTTTGTCTATCAAACACATATTATCACCGTTTGTAACCTGCTCGGCATAATATGAACGGTGTAGACTCGAACCAGATACTGGTAATATGTAGTCGAAATTCAACTGGATGACAACAAAGAAGAACGTGTACCCTAAGTGTCCGTGCTCAAACTCGTTTTTTTTTTTCACCCACAATTTTACCGTACGTCATTAGGCATTATTCACATCGTTTCTGTTGATCTCAGCCTGAGTACGGGAGGACGAGTGGGGCTCAGATATGTTTGCACAATCTGTCCCGCACAAAACGGAACACGTTCTGGTGGTGGTGGTGGTGGTGGTTGTGATAGTGTTTTCACATAAAAGCTCAAATGAACCGTTGTCTCGCACTCGTTGTACCCACCCGGTAGCTGGTGAAACTAAAACCATTCACCAGTGTTCAACTTTTGTAAATGACTGTGGAACGTTTTCGACCATTTTCCTTCTGTGACCGAGCATTATTGTTCAGATATTCGCGCATAGGTAAATCTCCCCCCCCCCGCAAAGCCGCGTTCTGAAGCTACATTTCAACCTTCATTTGATTAACACAAGCATCTAAGTTGCTTTCCGGGACTGGACTGTTCTGTGTGCTTGGACTAAGCACGTTCGAACGAGATACGTGTTGTGATCGTGCAATACGAAGAAATGTTGTTATTTTATCTTCGATCTCCTGGGAACTCTGTACACCACAACTGGTCAGATAATAGTTAAAATGATAGAGTTTTTAGTTTCAAATTGTTTGCGGCTATTGATTACTGTCTTTTGAGCGTGGGGTGGGGGGACAAACATTAGAAATATCGACATGATCCATCGGTCGCATATTTATTTTGTGCCCAGCCTGGCCACGATTGCTCGGTCCCAGTAGAATGAAAGTTATGACACATGATACAACACGGATGAGAAACTGATCGTTGTAGCTGAGTAACGGGGGTAGAATCTGTGAGTATCGGGTTGTTGCCGTTGGTAGAACAGGGCAAAAAAACGAATTCATGGTTTCCAATATACGAGGTCAATAGTATTTTGAAGTACTCCTAATTCCTTCTCGGTATCGAAGTCCTATTACCCTGTAGTACTAAAGAGATATAGATAATACCTCTTGGATCAGGAGAACAAATCGATACAAATCGATCGTCTGAGCCAGCTCATGCTTGGACTGTTCAACATTCACGCCTGAACTTGCTAACCGAATAATCTATCGATCATTATTGATGTGACTTGCTGTTGTGCTCGATCGACTGAGGTCAATTCATTCATTCATTCTCGTCGGAAGCTCACCGGATCAACTGTTAAGGGTATCATGCTTCCGGGTTAGGATAGGTGACGGATGGGGATGTGGGTGAACGAACGATCAAATACCGGGCCATAGGACCCTTCATCCTCGCTCGTTGACTCACTAAAAAACTACTTTGTCCATGTTTACTGCGAAATCAGTTCATTTTACCACTGGACGGGGGTACTGTCCATGTGTGATCGTCGCTCAGAGTACGCGCACTACAAAATGTGGTCCGCTTCGGTGAATAGAGTCGACTCTTACCAAGTTTCTGTTGATTCTATTCACAATTCAAACGCAAATATACGTGCTTCAGAAAAGATCCAGAGGCTTGAACATTTTTACGCTTCAAATCCGCACATGTTCGATCGCGTTAAGCACGAATGGACAATAGCTACCGAACAAGATGGGTACAGATGGTAAACCGTTTTCGTACGATGAAGCACTTGATTAGTATTTGTCAATCTATTTTGCTAGATCTATGATTTCAGTTCAGAAGCAATGCAAAATGAATTCTATTCTCGTTAGGGCATTTCGAACCGAGTAACCCAATGAATGAAGGTCACACGAATAGCATGTGATTTCGTATGCGTTGAACAACAGCTACAAAAAACATCCCAGGCGTACATGTGTGTTTCTGATTGTCAGTCGACTGAACAATCTATTGCTCATGTATGGAGCCAGGGGTCGAATTCCAACACGTCATTGGAACGGTCACTTGTCGCGGAAGACAAGGATCGATAGCCCGTGTGAGTTGATCGATTTGGACTGCTCTGTTGACCAGATGGAAATGTGGGAAAGTGATTCCCAGTCTGATCGATCGGACTCGTGCGGGTTTGGTTCTTCATTGCTGTGAGAACAGATCTAAGTGTGTTTTGATTTCACTGTTTTTTTTTGTTTTAATTTGCAGAGCCCTAACCCCGTGTTGCGTTGATTGTATTCTCCTCATTTTGGTGCTTCCATATTAACAATCGTTTTGACTTGTGTCGTTTTCACTGGGTTAGTTATGTTTTCGTTTTCGGGCATTTTGTAAATCTGACGGGAACGAACGAACGCAAGCAAAAATCATGAGAGATACACAGAGAAGAATACCAGTTTTCCCCCACACACCCGCGAATCCTGAACACTTGTACAGTTACATGTTCCGTGGCGGTAGTACTCACAGTACGGTCCGGCAACCTGTGTCATGGCTTATCGTTCAGTGCTCATTTGTCTGAAGTAGCCCGGATTTGTTGAAGTGGATTGAGACAATACGGTTTGCGCGCTCGAAAAAAACAAGACACGTGCAAAGTCGTGATAATCCAAGTCCCGAGGACCACCGTAGAATCTCTGACTGAAAGGGGATCTAAACGGTTTTGGTCAAGGCTCGAGACTCACATGGATAATGATTCCTAACATCATTCCAGTACACATACAATGGTACGGTGAATTCCCAAGAAGTTTATTTTTCTTGACATGCGTCGGTTTGTGCGACCAAACAGACTATTGCCACGGGATTACGAAATTTCAGGCTGTGGGGATTGGTTTTGAGTTGTGGCTGTGCGTATCAATGCGTAAGTATTCATTGTTTTATAAGTCCTCGTGTGAGTACGTTCTGTTTACTGCCAGGTACCAGTGAAATGTACCGTTAGGTGAGCTGTTTACACTGTCCCTGATAGAGCTCGGCTGAACGGAACTGCTCACAAAAATTTCATGAATTTCCGTTTCTATTATACTTGACCAAACTCCAACACAAATTTCGAAGTTTTCATAATTTTGGTGTGAAACTTTTGTCCCAAATGGAGAGCCCACTCCTAACACCTCAGCTCTCAATTTAATCCATGAATAAACAATACAGCTAATCTTTCTCTCAATCAAACTGAAACATATTTGC